GACGCGGTGGAAACGGGTCGAAGTGTGCCCGAGGCCGGCTGAGGAAGCCGTGGCAGATAAAGCGGATGCGGGTGAAAAAAGAGCCCGAAGAACCGGCAAGCGAAAAAACGGAGAGCGATGAACCCATCGAAAACGACACAGAAGAAGTTCACACCCTGACGCGATGGTTCCGTTTAATGATACTTTTGACGATGTGCAAGTTGTTAATCTTCCATAGATTTTTTTCATTTTCGCGTAGTTTACGAGCTTTCCAAACTTGACTTTTACTGATTTCTTGCCGGTTCGCCCAATTTGTGATAACCATTTGCTCATTTACCGGTTTTCTCTCTCTTTCTCGAAACGATGCAGTGTACTCAGCGAATTACCGAATGAATATTTTCAGATAGCGGCACTCGACGGGCTTCTCACGTGAGCTGCTTCTTCTGCGAGCTGACGACCATGTCTAGCGAGTAAGCTCGTTTTTTTTGCTTTGTAAACCTGATTTTTAGCTGGAAAAAGATTCGCCAATGCGATCCGTCCGAGGTTCGTCACTTTCTCTGCTACTTTTGCGGCGTGATGCACTATTCGTTGGATGATTACCAGGTTCAACATTTTTCAAAAACTATTATACCTTGATTCAGAAGCATCTTCTCGATCATCAATGGGCTTCGCTGGCCATTCAGCTGTATGAGGCCGAGGTGGAGAAAGAGGTGATTTTTATTTCATTTTTTTTTCTGACAAAATCGGGTTTTTGAGGATTCGCGTGGTGACCAGCATTTCTGCGACGCATCCCCTTTAGCCTAGACTTTTTATAAATACCGTCTTCTAACCCTCATAAATCTCATTTTAGAAAAACATCCAAGCCGAGAAGCGCCGCGCCTCGAAGCCTTCCACCCCGGTCCCGCCGGCGAATACAAAAGCAGCTCCTCGCGCTGCCGCGGCTGCAACCGGTTCAAGGCGCCCGTCCGGCGCAGGTGCACTCAAAAGTCGGTTTTAATTGGATTTGAGGCCCCCTTGCTTTTCAGAAATTTTTATGGGCTGTTCGTTTTGTATCATAAATCACTGTGAAGATCCCGATTCTACGTTCATTTTCAGGAAAAGCGCCCCCTCCCTCGACGCCGACCACCGAGAAGTGCATGAAGTTCAGCGCCGACCAGATTAGCGAGCTGTTCGGCCCGCCGCTCAGCCCTGACTCGCCATCTAGCGCGGTAATTTATGGGAATTTTAATTTTATTGTGCTTTAGTCCGCCACCCCGCCACAAAGCGTCCCGAAGTCGCCGTGTCGCGCTGAATTGTCAACCCAGCCGTCTGAAGATATTAAGGTCGTTATTTGCTTTTGGAATTTTGGTCTCTTTCGGCCGATTTGATTTCGTATCGTTTGCTTTATTGAGAGGGAGTATTTTGGCTTTTGTAGGAAATCACTACTCCGGGCACTTCGCAAGTTCCACCGTTGCCAGGAGTTGAGCTGCCGCTCATGAAATCTGAAGCCGCCTCGTCGGGAACCGAGGTTAATTTTTTGAAGAGCTTTGGTTTGGTTTGTGTGCTTTGCAAATTTTTAACACCAATATTTGGTCTTGTTTGTCTTATTCTTCCGGAATAACTTTCCTCGATGTTTTCAAAGAATCGAAGGGTTTAGGGGTTACCGTTTAGCAAGACGGATTTTCTCCCAGTAGTTTCTTACTGCCCTATAACAAAAGCTAAAGAATTTTTGCTGTATTTTACAAGATTCTAGATATGAAAAACTGCCAAAAATTATAAAATTTCGAAGATTCTTGATTTTTGGATCAACAATGTGTCAAAAAGGAGTAAAAATGTCAGTTTTGTAATTTTTTGTTTTCTGGCAATCAAGGCAATTAAAATCGCGATAAAAACGATTTTATTACGGGCCGGGCGGAAAAGTAAAGATCGTGAAATAACGCGAAATTCCCCCTCGCCGCTAAACGCTACGCACCGAACCTGATTTAATGGAAAATTCTGCCCTTTTCCTAGTTCTCTGTTTTCTCGATACACTTTAGCACCATCCAAGGCTCTATTTCAGGCGTCCGCCGGCACCTTGCCCTCAATTGCCGTCAAGGATGAAGTCAAGAGTGCCTCCGCTATCTCCAGTGCCTCCACAAACCCGAAAATCAGCACTGACTCCGCTTCGAAGATTCGAGGCGGAAGCGGAGAGCCGGCGCCGTCGCAGACACTCGAGTGCAGCCTCTGCAAGGCCCACTTCAGCGACGACGTCAAGCTGCTCCTACACCGTACGCAGTTTCACATGTCCTGGAAATAATAATTGTCGTCTCGTTCGAATTTGAGAAAGTAAATGTCCTATGTTTTTGTTTGGCCAACGCAGCAGCTCTGTGTGATTGATGATGTGTGTTGATTGCTGTTTTTCATGGGATACCGACCGTCCGATTTGTATCTGACGATCTGCGATGGCTGACCTACGATCTATTTAGTTCTAGGAGGCCAGACACGCAGGGATTTTCGAAAGCAGGCCGTACAAGCCAGAACAGAATTCGAGACCGGCAGAAAGCATTTCAAGAACGCATGATCGTTCCGGAGAGTTTTTGAGCAGCCCGAAAATTGGCAGGCTAGCAGAGACGTTTGGGGAACCCCGAACCATAATCAATGGAAGACAAAGATAGAGATGGATTCAAAGAAGAAAATATGCAGCTAATAGACAATTCATACGAATATTAACATTCACCTCCGGTAATCGGGGTAAATAAACCTGACCAGGAGAAAAATGAAAAGAAAAAGAAAACCAGTGACCGTACGGCTGAAAAAGACTGCAATCGTCATTTTGGCTTTCGCAACCTACCCCATTTGCTGGATACCAAAAACTCGGGATGGTGAAGTTGCGAGCAAGCGGTCAAACAATGTAAATAAATTGCAGATGTTGAAGAATTTCCAGTTACTGCGATTTTTCAGAGAAATCAGCGACGAGCAAGCGTCGTGCCCTAGTGGCACAATGTTGCATTATGCAGTGGAGTGCAGATTGCATATGGCGTTTTGCAGTGTTCGAATGTCTGGCTCTCTCGCTACTTGGAGAAAGGGGCGCCGTAGCGCAGCTAACTTGTGGCTAACCTAGGTAATTTAGAAATTTGATGAAATACCGCAACGGGAAGAATGTCCAAGTGTCTGTGATTTTCATCCGGAAGAACTTTGACAGTTTGAATCATCAGGCTTGGAATGCAGAGTGGAGCCTTGTGCAGTGGAGCTGAGCGTTGCCACAATCCAACTACGCCAGGCACCTTTGGGTGTCCGCACTTTGTGCGACGGTTGCGGGCAGGTAATGCCATGCAGGCATTAGTAGATGCACTTTTGACAGATGATCAGAATAATACCAGCTCTTGCAAGGGCCGCAAAGCGTTATCGCTGTTGATTTTGTGCCGGATAAAGTTAATAACGGCTCGAGGCCGAACTTTCACAGATCAGCTCCGCTCCTGTTCGCCGGCGGCTCCCAAAATCATCATCTCTGTTGTTGTGTTGGCCAAACAAAACATTCTAGGCAAAAAATTACTACAAAAACCGCGAATGGCAAGACATGACCATGGGTTGGCTTAGGATCTCTATCTCTAGAATCCACAGCCAGTAAAATCCATGTACTGTCTGGTCTATTTCTCTAAAAAATAATAATAGAAAATATGGTACATCCTCAAAACGCTCGTGAGATACAACGCTAAAAAGGACGTTACATCGAAAAGGACGTACATTTCGATGTAACGTTCTTTTTAGGGTCGCACCTTACAGGTTTATCCTCTCGGTTATATTCATTTTTAGGCGTCAACGTGCACCGGGCCGACATCGAACGCGTCGGTCTCTACATGTATGGTGGCGTGAAATTGGTAATTTCTTCTGCGGTTCGTTAAACGCTTTTTAGATCCACGGCCGCGACCTGTCAATGCCGGAGGCGGCCAAATGCAAAAAGTGCAAGATTGAGTTCAACGACCTGACGGGGTGAGTGAAATTTGTGGAAATTTTATGGCTACTGGACCGTTAGCGGGGGATAATGTTTTTGTAACGTTATTGGTAGCTTTTTGATTGCTAGACAGTTACAAAAATTTTTTAGTAGATTCTGAAAATTCGAAGATCTGGACCAAAAAGTAGCAATCGAAAAACGTTCGTATTTTATAGGGTGGTGTCGGCTTACTGGGAAAAAATTTGGTCCCCCGATAACAAACCAGTACCATGTTGCCTAAATTGTGACAAATTGGAAGAATCTATTTTTCTGTCTTCAAAAAAGTAGGAAAACTAGAAATTTTTAAATTTTTTGTTTTTGCGAGTATTTTTACTTTTTAGCAATCGGCAGCTTTTAAAAACGCTATAAAAAACGGCTATGTTTGTTTACAGAGCAGTTTGGGCTGAATAAAAAAAATAAAAAGCTGAGAAGTGGCTTCAAAAATCGCAGCGGTTTTTGTATCTTTCGAACGCCCCGAAAACGTCGGGTTTTTGGTTGTATCTATATTTCTAGCTTGTCGTGCTCGGAAAGTATGTTCTATAACCCATTTTTCCAGCTACTTCACGCACGAGCTGTCGAACCACTCGGACGGCTTCTTCGTGGACGTGCGCGTGAACCGTGTGGTGGTGGCGTATCGATACTTGGTGCGGACCGACACCCTGGAGGACAGCTACGAGATCTCTGCTCCAAGGCGCCAGCACTCGCCGAATACCGACGGCAAGGCGGTCGCCACCGAATAGCAGCTCTAGCCCCTGTTTTCTGCTTCCGTTGTGCTAATTCTACGCGTTGTTACCGGGTTAATTTGTTAGTTAAATTAAATTAAATGTTGAAGCGTTGTAGGTGTACCTTTCGCCACTAATGATAACATTTGTTGTTGGTTTTTGTGATCCCCCATTTTCACATTGTCTTCTTCAACGGCCATTTAATTAATTAATTAATTCCCCCAGACCCCGTGTTTTTCGGGCTTGTTTTTCGATGCGGTTTTTCGCGAATAAAGTTTACTAAGAAGTATGATTATAAATGCAGTGTTTCAAACGTCCATAATTTATTACAGTAACGGTTGTTTCCGTTATTCGCGCTCGAAGAGCAACGAGAAGCCGGGCCCGTTGTTGATCAGATCGGTGCTGAACTGGAGGTAGAGCCGGCTGCTGCTCGAATGAAGCGTATGGAGTGGGAGGTCTTCGTAGGAACCGGATAGGCTGAAGAAGCGATACATATCTAGTTTTTTTTTGGCTAAATCAGCGCGTAATAAAGTCTTTTCCAGCGCCAAAACGCTGGTATTATATTTCCGAATATACGTGTTATTTAATAAACCAACTTAGCCAACATTGTCGCCCGTTGATCGATCCCGTCATAGATGTACAGCCTGTCGCAGCACTTTTCCGTCCAAAATGACTCAATCGTCAGCTTGATCTGCAATTACAAGAGTGCAACGTCTGTCGCTGTGAGCTACTGCAAATTTTTTCGGCGCAAACCTAAATTGTAAAAATAGCGGATGCCTTTTTACATTGTTTTTAACTTTTAAGCTTTGTTTTTGAGCACAAAAGTTTGATTAAAGTTAATTCTAGATAGAAAGTTGATTTCTTCCAAGACAATTGAGCGAAATGTTAACTTTTTTGTGACAGCTTTGTTGCTTCAAATCGTTAATACTTGCTAAAAACTCTACAAGCACACTTTATATCTGATTACTAGGCCTCAACAACATCGCTAACCAATCAACGATAATAGTTATGGCCTAAATTAAATTGCTGTACTTCACCACCGACCTTATGCCCGTCCGGCACGCCAATCCAGTAGTTACACAGTGCGTTGTTTGGATATGCGTACGGCCACGACGGCGACGTTTCGATCCCGTACACATAATCCGTCGAGTCGGTGGCTGTGAATGGAGCTGGGGGACAGGCGTGGCTTGCGCTGTATTTGTAGCTTACTGAAACAATAATAATCACTTTAACTTAATATTTACGTTTCCCACCCTTCCCCCCAGCCGGAAGTTCCCAAAAAATTGCCTGCAAAATTGCGAAAAAAACAATCCAAAATTTTAGAGGTTGACTGGATTTTCTTATTTTTTTTAGCTCTCGCTTAGAGTTAACTTTCTTTTGGGCTGATCAGTCAAAAAAATCAAAACACTTAGTAGGTTTTTGTTAAAATGAACGTCGCTGAAAATCCCGAAAAAATAACAAAAATCTTATAAAATTTGGTGACCCTAGGAATGGCGAGGTTGCAAAATCAATTCTTACGCTTCAGCTACTGTCCATTTATTTGTTTTTGCTTGTAGGGTGTAAGCCACACAAGATCGCAAGATGTGAAACCTTCAAAAATAATGTTTCAGGCCTAGGGGTACCAAAACAACCACAACGGTTCTGTTCTATTTCGCGTGGGGGAAAAAACTGTGCGGGGGGGGAAAATAGCTTCGCGGAACCTTCCATCTTTTCGCTGCTTTCTCGGGATTTTTGCAACGCGATTCGATAGAGCATCAAAAAATATACTAAGAGTTTTTGTTTTAGCTAAAAATATTGTAATATAAAAAAGTTATAGCAAAAACAAAAAAAAACTATTGAAACTGGTTCCGGAATGTTAGTTTTCGGCATTTTCGCCAGTTTTTCGATATTTTGAACCCGTCATTCGATAGAGCATCAAAAAATATACTCAGAGTTTTAATTTCATCTAAAAATATTGTTTTATAGAATAGTTATAGCAAAAACAAGGTTTATTCGGTGTTTCCACATGGGATCGTGGAGTCAAAAGCTAGTTTTCGACATTTTCGATAACTTTCAAAAATTTCTTTAATGCCATTCGATAGAGCGTGAAAAAATATACTAAGAGTTTTAATTACAATTCAAAATAGCATCATATAAAAGAGTTATAAAAAAAACGAAAAAAATTTCCCCCCCCGCACAGTTTTTTCCCCCACGCGAAATAGAACAGAACCACCACAACTTTTGGCAATCCCGTGACACGTGTAAACTGGAATTACTTCGATTCATTTTCCGTTTCTTCTGTTTTTCATAAGGTCGATAATTTTCAAGATGCGTTAAACTACATAAAACCTCGAACTTCCTTATTTAAGTGAAAATTAGCGTAAAAATCGATGTTTTAAAACATATCGTCTAGCAAAAACGAAATTAATAGCTAGTTTCATTCGGTTACGCACTTTGCAATTAGCAATAAAAAAGCTTTTTAAAACTAACTCAAAACCGTGGTAAATTCGGCATAAAATCCAATGTCGGTGTTGAGAAGATCGGAGCTGAACAAGACGGTCATTGACGGACCGGAGGATTCCACGACCGTACCCGTGCCATTCCCGGAAAGCCTGAAAAGAGGGTCTAAAAAGGCGTTTTCTACTATCTTTTCCTCTCACTCTCGTTCACTCTCGTCTCGCTGTCTCTCTCTCCCTCTCTCTCTCTCTCTCTCTCACTTATCGCTATCCCACCGGTCCTACGCTAGGTGCATTGGAATTGGATAAAAATACTAAAATACGCAAAAAAGTGAAACATTTTCTGAATTATTTGAACAGCGCCTTTTATTTTTTTCTTTTTCCGCGAAACGTTTTTACTAGGCTCAGCTCCCCAAAATTGTGGAGACAAGTTGCAGGTTTAACAATGATTAACAAAGACATGTTAATTTTTAAATGTTTTGCAGATTGCCGAATTCAGTCACGCTAAAATATCGATAATTCCAATAAGCAAGCAATGCTTGTCAAATTAATAAAAAAAATCGAGAAAAATGTTTAGCAGATCCTTAGAAACCCGGATTACCCATCCGTCCCCGTTTTCCTTAGAATTGCTGGCTGAAACATTTAGTCGAACACATGATATCTGACATCTACAACTGATTAAAAACCGGAGAACTAATCTAATTCCTCTGTTTCTAAATCATAAAACAATAACGACGATGTAAATTGACGATCTGACAATCCAAAAAAAGTTAAGTATTGGGAAATTTACAAATTGGCAAGTTTGAAAAAAATTAGTATAAAAATGTTTCAAAAACTTTCCAAAATCCAAAATTTTTCGTGGGATTAATCGACCACGGAAAGATTCGACATACTAAACCGATCCCTTATGTTTATTATGGGAAGCTAATTTTCATTTTCCACCTGTACTGATGCGTTAATATTATATAAAGCATGTTGACCGTATTTTTGAGCAGTTTTTGAATGGCATAAAGTTATAAAAATTTAGAAGTTTTAACGAGAATTAGCTAATTGTTCGTCGTTTTCCGCACATTTTTACCCAAATTTAAATAAATTTTTTTTACCCATTATTCCCTTACGGCTTTATAATAAAATATAGGCCATTTTTCTAGCATTTTACGCAGTTTCTATATACAAAAAACCACATAAACAGTTATATAAACGTAGCAAATTTTTCCTTTTTTTCGTAAAAAAATGTTTCAAACATGACTAGAAATCAACATTTTCGAGGGTTCAATAGTTTTTTAGAATTTGCTGGTTTCAAGCAATAAAAAAAACCACTAAAAAGGCTATAAAACTATACAAAATACACAAAAACTACGCAAAAATGCAACACGAACCTACTCTTTGAGAATCTTGGCTCCGTCCTTGAGATTCGAATCGTAGACGGTCACTCGATCACAGCACTCCTCCGTACGCAGCGTGTAGAAAGTGAGGTGGATAAAGTAGCCGGGTGGAGCCTAGAGGATACGCATTAATGGTCATTTATACCGCTAACTACTTTTTCCGGTTCTTTTCTTTTATCGGGGGGAGGGGTGTGAAGCCCTTCCTTAATTACCAATTTTAATACTATAAATCATCTTTCTAACCCATTTTTTTACAATTCTGTGCGTGAAAACGTTACAAATTACACAAAAACACAAAATCTCAATTTGTCGACCAAAAATGGCCGATTTTCGACGAAATTTCAAATTAAAATGTTTTTTTTTTGAGAGTTTTTCCGCTTTTAAGCATCGGTAATTTTTGCTAAAAAAACGCTATGGAACCACTTACTATGTATTACGTTATTAGGCATTTCTGTCTCTTGTACAACTGCATTAATTTTAAGAATCGAATCAGCCCGCACTGGTCCTTTAAAACATTATATTTCACCGGCAAGACCTTGAACATTTGGTAATAATGCTTTAGTTTAAACCCCCCGATCGGAATCTTAGAGAACTGAGTTTTAAAAATATTAAAATACGCTATTATCAACCAAAACCAACCTGTAGATAATACACGATTTGCGCAAGATTTGGGTAGTCATTCGGGAAATTGGGCGTCGTCAATTTCCCTTCGGTACCGTAGATCGTCACGTTTTCCTCGAGCACTGGGGGAAGGACGAATTTCTGAAAAATTTGGTTCAGCTTATACATTCAAACGTTTTAAGAAATATATTTTGGTTTTCCTGGTACAATTAATGCATCGTAAAAATGTATGACAAAATTTACGACAAGCTTGATCCAAATTTCCACGAGAAAGAGTGAAAGAGCGAGAGAGAGAGAGAGAGAGAGAGAGAGAGAGAGAGAGTGAGTGACAGAGAGAGGAGGGAGGGAGAGTGAGAGAGAGTGTGTGAGAGTGTGAGAGAGCGAGAGAGATAGGGAGTGACAGAGAGAGGGAGGGAGGGAGAGTGGAGAGAGTGTGAGAGAGAGCGAGAGAGAGTCAGATAGAGAGAGAGAGTGAGAGAGAGAGAGAGAGTGACCGTCGGAAATAAAGAACCGTTTTAGGCGGAAGTGCTGGGTTATCGGGAAGAGGGCGCGGAATTCACCCAAAAGCTGTTCTTTTGGATGATGCCCTCTTTCTCAGAGAGAGAGAGAGAGAGAGAGAGAGAGAGAGAGAGAGCGAGGGTGACTCAGAGAAATGCAAGCATGAAAATGACATTTTTCATAAAAGCTACCGGTGATGCTTATTACTTTACAATCAACTGTTATTACGATTCCTAAACTCGAACACGTTACAACATTAAAAAAAAAATACAAAATATATAGATGCACGGATCTAGAAACCCAGCTCTTCAACCGTATTATCGTTTCTGTTATAGCTATTTTATATTACATTATTTCGAGCTCAAATTGAAACGACTGATTTGTTTTATGATGCTCTATCGAATGCCGTCAGAAAAATCCCAAAAAATGCCGAAAAATATCGAAAAATTTGAGGTTTTTGCTCATTGAAACCCTTAAATCTTGACCTGAATCAAAGCTTTGCTAAAAAATGTTTCATAAAAATGCAACCCACGCTCTCGAAATTCCCTCGTAGTGACGCGACAGCTATTAGGTTGTGGAAAAATAATAATCCCAAGATGACGACGACGGGAGGTCCATTGGCCATCCGGTTGGAGGGACGACAAATTCCGGTGTGTGTGTCAGTCTGTCTGTCGTTCGATTTCTGTCTGTCTGTCTGTGTGTCTGAGTGTCTATCTGTCTCTCTATCCGTGTCTATGACTTAAACCCGGACCCCCGCTTATCATTTTCACGCCCCGAAAATGGAGCCCGGGCCAATTAAGCAGCCGTTTTTCTGCTGCACTCAATCTGTTTATTTATGGTGGGAAGAGAACGGGGCCAGTTGACGTTTCGCATAAATTCCTTTGGAGGCGATTAATCGGCCTAAGCGCCTCGAATCTACTTTTAAGGAATAGAATTCGGTTCTTTCCTTTTAACGGGGGGAGAGGAGTTGTAAAACCCTCGAATCTACTTTTAAGGAATAGAATTCGGTTCTTTCCTTTTAACGGGGGGGAGAGGAGTTGTAAAACCCTCGAATCTACTTTTAAGGAATAGAATTCGGTTCTTTCCTTTTAACGGGGGGAGAGAGGAGTTGTAAAACCCTCGAAGCTACTTTTAAGGAATAGAATTCGGTTCTTTCCTTTTAACGGGGGGCAGAGGAGTTATAAAACCCTCGAAGCTACTTTTAAGGAATAGAATTCGGTTCTTTCCTTTTAACGGGGGGGAGAGGAGTTATAAAACCCTCGAAGCTACTTTTAAGGAATAGAATTCGGTTCTTTCCTTTTAACGGGGGAGAGGAGTTGTAAAACCATCGAAGCTACTTTTAAGGAATAGAATTCGGTTCTTTCCTTTTAACGGGGGGAGAGGAGTTGTAAAACCCTCGAATCTACTTTTAAGGAATAGAAGTCGGTTCTTTCCTTTTAACGGGGGAGAGGAGTTGTAAAACCCTCGAATCTACTTTTAAGGAATAGAATTCGGTTCTTTCCTTTTAACGGGGGGAGAGGAGTTGTAAAACCCTCGAAGCTACTTTTAAGGAATAGAATTCGGTTCTTTCCTTTTAACGGGGGGAGAGGAGTTGTAAAACCCTCGAATCTACTTTTAAGGAATAGAATTCGGTTCTTTCCTTTTAACGGGGGGGGAGAGGAGTTGTAAAACCCTCGAATCTACTTTTAAGGAATAGAATTCGGTTCTTTCCTTTTAACGGGGGAGAGGAGTTGTAAAACCCTCGAATCTACTTTTAAGGAATAGAATTCGGTTCTTTCCTTTTAACGGGGGAGAGGAGTTGTAAAACCCTCGAATCTACTTTTAAGGAATAGAATTCGGTTCTTTCCTTTTAACGGGGGGAGAGGAGTTGTAAAACCCTCGAATCTACTTTAAGGAATAGAATTCGGTTCTTTCCTTTTAACGGGGGGAGAGGAGTTGTAAAACCCTCGAATCTACTTTTAAGGAATAGAATTCGGTTCTTTCCTTTTAACGGGGGGAGAGGAGTTGTAAAACCCTCGAAGCTACTTTTAAGGAATAGAATTCGGTTCTTTCCTTTTAACGGGGGGAGAGGAGTTGTAAAACCCTCGAATCTACTTTTAAGGAATAGAATTCGGTTCTTTCCTTTTAACGGGGGGCGGAGAGGAGTTGTAAAACCCTCGAAGCTACTTTTAAGGAATAGAATTCGGTTCTTTCCTTTTAACGGGGGGAGAGGAGTTGTAAAACCCTCGAAGCTACTTTTAAGGAAAAGAATTCGGTTCTTTCCTTTTAACGGGGGGGAGAGGAGTTGTAAAACCCTCGAAGCTACTTTTAAGGAATAGAATTCGGTTCTTTCCTTTTAACGGGGGGGAGGAGTTGTAAAACCATCGAAGCTACTTTTAAGGAATAGAATTCGGTTCTTTCCTTTAACGGGGGGCGGAGAGGAGTTGTAAAACCCTCGAAGCTACTTTTAAGGAATAGAATTCGGTTCTTTCCTTTTAACGGGGGGAGAGGAGTTGTAAAACCCTCGAAGCTACTTTTAAGGAATAGAATTCGGTTCTTTCCTTTTTAACGGGGGGGGAGAGGAGTTGTAAAACCCTCGAAGCTACTTTTAAGGAACAGAATTCGGTTCTTTCCTTTTAACGGGGGGGGGAGAGGAGTTGTAAAACCCTCGAAGCTACTTTTAAGGAATAGAATTCGGTTCTTTCCTTTTAACGGGGGGGAGAGGAGTTGTAAAACCCTCGAAGCTACTTTAAGGAACAGAATTCGGTTCTTTCCTTTTAACGGGGGGAGAGGAGTTGTAAACCTCGAAGCTACTTTAAGGAATAGAATTCGGTTCTTTCCTTTTAACGGGGGAGAGAGGAGTTGTAAAACCCTCGAAGCTACTTTTAAGGAATAGAATTCGGTTCTTTCCTTTTAACGGGGGAGAGGAGTTGTAAAACCCTCGAAGCTACTTTTAAGGAATAGAATTCGGTTCTTTCCTTTTAACGGGGAGAGAGGAGTGTAAAACCCTCGAAGCTACTTTTTAAGGAATAGAATTCGGTTCTTTCCTTTTAACGGGGGAGAGGAGTTGTAAAACCCTCGAAGCTACTTTTAAGGAATAGAATTCGGTTCTTTCCTTTTAACGGGGGGGTAGAGGAGTTGTAAAACCCTCGAATCCACTTTTAAAGACATGGAAAATTCCTAAAAAATGTGCTATTTTCAGTTTCAGGAATCGTTTTCAGGAATCAAGGGAAGCGCAATTCATGGCTGTAGATTAAAGGTTTTTTGGCGTTAATGAGCGGCATACAAGGGGAAACGAATTTTTTCTAGAACCGCTGGACGCGCTATACGATGGTCTTTAACAACTTCTGCTAGCTTGCCCAGTTTCCGGGGTTAAAGGGACGCTTAAGGTATCGCTATCGAGCTAAAGTCCTTTGCCGTTATCAGGGGGGGGGGGGGGAGTTGCGCAGGGGAAAACCAACATTCCATTCTATTCAGAATATGCTGGACATGAAGATCTAACACAAGTCACTTTATTCGATAAGAATTTTTGAACATTTTTTGAAGAAGTGAATAAATCCGTGAAAAAGTTTGGAACATTTGAAGGGGGGTAAAGTCACTACCCCGAAAAGTCACTACCCCGAAATAATTTGCATGATTTTCATAGGAAAACCGCATGAAAACTGGATTTTTCCGGGAAAAACAATGCTATCATTTTTCGGGGTAGTGACTTTTCGGGGTAGTGACTTTTCGGGGTTGTGACTTTCGGGGTAGTGACCGGACGCCATTTGAAGGGTTAGGGGGGGACATGAAGGGTGTCAAACTGAAGCTCTCGGGATGCGCTACATGCTGAAGATATTGCAAAAAGGAGCTGGCAATGCATCATTTTATACACGTCGCCCAGAAACAAAATAGCATGAAAATGTAGCAGCCAAGCAGAAATAATGGCACATTGGCAGTGACGGTATTGAAGAGATCCTTGAAATCTTCGACGGGTTTTACGGGTTCTGGCAGTTTGAAGGGTTCTGTTGGATGGTGGCGGCATTCGCATTTCTCTCCGCCGCGATGCACGTTGCGTGGTGGCTCCACGTTGTGAATCGCTGAAAAATAGAACTCCAACACCCTTCAGGCAGCTCTAACTAGGGAAGTCCAAAATGCCCGCAACACCGATCGGGATGAAAATTTGTACACTTATAGAATCGCCCACGCTGATAATTGCCTCGTTTTCCGACTTTGCTACAGAACCTTAAAATTTGAGATATTAAAGTTTTAAGTCGATTCCTTAGTTAAAATTGCCGAGCTTCGGGCTCGATTATTTTTACCTTTTTGGCAGATTTCCGAAAAAAAGCATCGCCATCGGATTCAAAAAAATTTTCTCTTTCGAATCAGCCCTCTAACTCAAAATTTTCAAAAACCCGAAAAATTGGAAAGATTGACTCCGAATTCACTATGGGAAATGGTAGAAAACAGCCTACTTCAAGCAGCTGTAGGATACCGCCCAGGTCCTTTGTGCATTAAGGAAATATATCATTCAAATCAGAAAAAATTCCCTATCCGATAGGCCACGTAAAATAACTAGAAAAATACTAACAAAAAAGTTCGATATCCTGACAAACCCCTTCCCGGCGACCCAAAAATGACACGAAGACTTTAATATCTCAAATTTTAAGGTTCTGTAGCAAATTCGGAAAACGAGGCGAATATCAGCGTGGTCGATTCTATAAGTGGACAAATTTTCAGCCCGATTTTGGATCTCCCTAGTAAATCTGCCCCCGGTACCTGGTGGGGATAGTAATCAAATAAAAACTGTTTTTGCATAGTTTTTAGCAAATTTAAGCCTATTTGAATCGGAAAAACTTTTTAAAAAGTTAGAAAAACTCTTAAAAAAAAGTCAAAAATTTTGTCATTTTTGGGCCGCAAAAAAAAATTGATTTTTCGACCTAAAATTAAAGTTTTTTTCAATTTTGTAAAGTTTTTAGGTTTAGGAATAGCTATAAACAATTCAGAAACCCTTCCACCATTTATATAAAAATTCTAGGTTTGGGCCAAAAAAAGTTCGGTCCCCCCCCGCGAATTCTTTTCCCCTCGTGTTCGGTCAATTTTGATAATAAAAAGTGATGAAAAGTCCCAATTTGGACGTAGTTTTCGTAAATAAAAAATTTCTACGGGTGGAAAAAAGCGCCCTCTTCATTTTTGCTAAACATTGCAAGGTCCAAATCCATCAAAATCCTAGTGAAATCGGCAAAACAAATCTTAATTTTCACATAACTTTTCTGTTTTCCAATATTATGCTTAGAAAATTCCGCTGCACGTATTTTTTATGGGTCCCCATCACTGGTAAAAATTTGGTCCCGATCCGATGGAAGACGCCCAAATGCCGAGGGGGGTTTTTTTGGGACACGCTGTATTTTTGAACCCCCGGATTGAACTGACCGAAAAGAAAGGCGAGTACCATGGTGGCGATCGTCGCGATGAACCCTTCCCATATGCCCACGTAGAGCGGAAATGGCTGGCGTCGGAAAAACGCCTCCAGCGCCGCTTTCGACGCTTTTCGGGAGTCTGGAGGGGACAACTGCAAAAGATTTGCGCTGCTGCCGAATCGCCGGTTCTTTTGCATTATCGGGGGGGGCGGCTTGGTTTTTTCGCGGCAACCCTGCCTGTTTATAA